AGAGCAACAAACTTAAGTTCTTTTCTTTTTCCTCGACTTTCTCTTCCAATATGACGTTTCTCGTTTCCTATTTCAGTATCTTTTTTTTTTTTTTCTTATGATAATCGCGCGACGTACCATATTTGTCCAAGAATGTACATACATGGTTCTCTATGGTTAACGCAATCATTTGTATATATATGGCACTTATTTACAACTATACTTGCAACAAAGATTTGTTTCGAGCTTCATTAACATACAAAGAACATTTAATTTTGCCGAGCATTTAATTTCGCGATAATGCAAAATTTTTCATGATATTAATTCTACGATTAGCTGGAAAAATCATTTGGAAATCAAGCAAATGACAATTACTTAATTAATTAATGAAAATCAATAACGAAGATTATGATTAAACGTATGGATGAATATACAATATTTAATTAACAATAAATTATTGCAACTTTATAGCAGCCAGAATTTCGTTCCTTTGATTTTGCAATTATATTTTGCATCGGAATTTCTCAGTTTTCTGTTCCTCTCTTCTTTCTCTTCTCTCCTTTCTGCCGAATATCAAATAAAGTCTGTTTGCGCTTCGCCGAAACGTACCTTACCTTACGCGCTCCTTTCTCAGTTCACGTCGCGCCTTCTTTTTGAGACGCGCATGTAAACGTGGTCGATATGAAACCGGTTCTCAAGCAAGCGAGAGAAGCGTGCGAGGATAAAAAAATTGGAACTCCTATGCCAACGCGTCTGCCGACGAGAATATATCCCGTACAAATTATAATAGCTTATTGTCAAACGCGCTCGCATTCGCGTGCAGAAATTTCCGGCTTTCCGCTCGGAATCGCCACTATTCACCACCGTTCGTAAACGCCTGAAACTGCATACTTTAATCCGTTTCTTAAATCGCGCACTAAATCAATTTTTAGCGCATCTAATTTTAACACGTGTGAGATTCGTTCGCGCTGTGTAAGCGTTCTCGGAAAATTCGCGCACGTTCGGCTGTCGAGTTAGCACGTGTCGTATTACGCAAAGCATTCGTCTCGGAAACACATAACACCACTCCCGGCATTTGAAGCTGACCGCCGAGGACGAGATATCGCGTTCTCTCAGAAGAAAGGGGATAAAACATATGTATATGATGTTAAGATGTGTATATATATCTGCATATTATGCCTACATGTCGCACCACGACCCGAATCGTCGACCACAAACGTCAAACAGACCGTAACAGAAAATTTTTGCACGTGCATTATCTCCGTGTTAGCTAGACCGGATTTTAGAACCAACGTGACGTTTCGCAGACACTCGCTAAAAAAGCTACGAGCTCCGTATTTATAAGCGGAACAGCTTGGTTGACGAAAAATTATCTTTTGACGAATTGTCTTTATATTTAACGCGAGCATTTCTACGTTATTTAACAAGAAATCAAAGAGAGCAAAAAGAGGCAAAATCTAATCGATTATACATTTTAAATTGTCGCTTCAACGAGATCACGTGAGATAAAAAAAAAAGAAAAATTTTAAAAATGTGCTTTATTTATCCAATTTAAGTATATGCAAAGCTTATTATTGACAGTCGTGTCTCTCGCCGAACAGTTCATTTACCCCTTTTCCTTGACAAACGACAACGTGGGTGTAATGATGATTCGACCACTATATATGTGTATATACTCGGGGAGCTTCATAATCTCGACGTAACGTAACATCACGCACGCTTACCGTACATACTCACATACATACATTTATCCATCCTATATATGTTACTCACCTGAACTCGTGCTCGGACGTGCTCGGAGCTTCTTGCGTGTAAACATCCGCGTGGACGGTTATCGTCGTCGGGTCCCCTTCTGCTCCCATCCTCTTGCCAGTCATATCGCCGGAACGAAATGATTAAAGCGCGCCGACGTCTTGTACTTTGTCTCCTCACTTGGTCGATGCAATTTTCACTTCTGTTTCAAGCCGATCGTCTCACGTGGCTGGAATCTTTTGCAGGCCACACGCGAAATGACTAGGTATTCTCTTTATTAAATAAAGAAGCACGTGATATATATCAAAAATAATGTTTAAAAATAACGTCATTAATGCAACTACTGCGAAAATATACGATTATTCTGATTGAAAAAGACAAGATTTCTATTTATCTTTCGCGCAATATCAATGATATCGACACTTCATCTCACTGCATTATACGTTAATTATTACGAGTATGATCCTGATTGAAAATCTCTATTTACCTGGTGCAATGTCGGTAATATTGATATCTTTAACTTTCTTATGGCGTTACACTCCGAATACGACGTATGTCGTTGCGTAATAAAATCAGCGGATCACACGACCACGAACAGAGGAATGAGCTTATAATGCACGGCGAGTCTACACATCGACAATCCGTGAACAACTGACGACTTTCGGCCTCTGTTGTGCCAGGTCCGTGTGCCTGATCATCAGGGAACCCTCCAGAAACTTTCCACAAATAACATCCCCTCCTTTCATCCCTCTCTCTTTGTTCTATGCAGTTGCTACTCTTTTCGAATAGACCGGCAATGGATGTTTTACTCACTACGTTATTTATATGAAAGATGTACTAATAGAAGTATTTCAAGTAATATACGGATCGGAATTTCGGTGAAATCTCGGTTGGCGCCGAAAAAGAAATTTCTACGAATATTAGTCAACGCTTTTATTGCTCTTATCTTCTTGTAGACGTTCCAAAGAAAAAATGGAAAAATCGTAGCTAAACTTGGACTTTAATATTACACGAAAATATTCTCCATATTTATTTGTCACAATTCTTCTTGCAAATCAGCATAAAATTTACAAATATCTGAAATAACTTTTAATCTGCATAAAGGATGTATTTATTTGTTTGCATCGGGGATTAAACTGAGATTGAGCGATTCGAATTTCTATGAATGCCGCAAAACTATTTAACGCATACGGTTCGTTTTTGTCGCACTTGCGTGCACGCAATGCGTCACATTTGGGGTTCGGCGAGGGTCTGTCGCTGTCCCTTCTACACATTCTTAGGGGGTCCTTTGTTACTTGCCGCCTGGTGAGATCCGGTCGCATCCTGTGAATGGATCGGAAAGCCTCAATTTCCAAGAGTCACAGTATGAAGAAAAACTGCATATTAAAACTGCATATTAAAACTGCATATCTTAAAAAGCAAGTGACCGAAAAAAGATTTGGTTTTTTTTCTCTGTAATTTTTACAGTTACAAATATCTAATATAAGATTATATAACTGATAAAAGATTAAATCGAGAATTTCAAATATATACACATGTATCATATAAGATTATTCTATTATCGTAATTTTATGACCAGCTCACAGGAAAAAGCATTACTGTAAAAAATGGATATTGATAAAGAATCTCTATAATATGTGTTGCCTATTCCTTTCTCTATCTTTCTCTCTTTATCAATCATCAGTATGACTCGTCTGTTCGTCGACATAGCTGTTTATTAAGCAAACGGACAATAATAATAATAATATAACTGTGTTACGTTATAATATTGATTTATATTAAAATATGCTTCTTATTAAACGTATGTTAATTTCAAAATGATTCGGAAAAATTATTGAAACAAAAAAAATAATAA